ACGGTGAGGGGGGGGCGTGCTTGCTCCCTGTTTTTCGCCCCCCCCTGCGGCGGATGCGCCACATCAAGGGCCACCCCCCGCGGAAATGGGCAGCCGGAGAAAAAAAAAGAATGCGCGGGGGGGACCCCGGGGGGGGGGGGGGGGGGGGGGGGCTTGGCGCAGCTGGAATTGACTGATGCATTATGTGGGTGGTGTCACTGTGACTTTCTTCCTTGTATTCCATTTGAGCTTATGGACTCATTACACCTGATCTAAATTCTACATGTATCTGGAGCAGAAGTATTTCCGTTCTTGGTCTCTTGCTTTTGCCCTAACATTGATGGTTTTTGTTTGGCTGTGGGCATACCATTTATAATTCAATAACCAACCCACCTTCACCCACATGGCAATTAAGTTGATGAGTTGTTTTGACGTTACTGTTAACACTGAGAAAATGTGACTTTTTCCTCAATGCACTGGAAAAATGTATTAATGCACAACCTTCTCCTGTTCTCCTTGCGGGTCAAAAAAGCACCCCGATATTAAATATAGAACTTTGAGCCTTGTTTTTGGAATTGAGCAAATTTAATTCCCACTTTGGTGTCTTCGATTCATATTAGGGTTTTGACGTGGGAAAATTATTTCGTTATTACAGTCATAAGAGCAATTTTTGATGCTTTTTGCTTGATGTAAGACATTGTATAATGTCCTGAACTGGGTTTGTGAATATTAAATGGCATGACCCTGTGTATCATATGTAGCATTTTTTGCCCATCATCATATTTTCTACCATATCTTGTAAACACCTTAGTTTCTTCGGTCTTAAAGCATCAACATGACATCTTGGATAATTTCGCCATCCATGCTAGCATGTATCTTTTTGTGTTTGTTGAAATATGCATAGCATCAAATAGACTTTGTTGTTGCAAACTTCACAGCTTTTTGCACATTATGTCAGCCTCGTTGAATTGTGGTTCTTTTGATAGGCATGTTGGGACAGATTATTATTCTAGGGCACCAAAAACAGTTTTGAAAGGTTTTCGAAATGTAAAGTTTCTAAAGGGCTGTCACTGTAACTTCACTTTCCTTAGTATATGCATTTAATAGGCGGGAATTGAACAAACAGGAAGTGTTTTTTGTCTATTTTCTTGCTGGTATTAGCTAAGGAAATACCCGGACCCCGGCTGTTAGTAACAGTGCTGCTTTCATAGTCTGAAGATGAATATAATATTTCTTTTGTAGCTAAAATTTTTAAAGGAATTAGTAGCAGCTTTAATGTATATTTGACTATTATAGAAGAAAAAGGTTGTGTTTGCACCCACACCCACAGGTAAGAAGGCATTTAGGCAGGCAGGAAATCTGAAAGTACATGAAAGAATACACGCTGGTGAGAAGCCATTTAAGTGCAAGCATTGTGTCAAGGCGTTTAGCCAAGCAGGAGATCTGAAAAGACATNTGTTGCAAACTTCACAGCTTTTTGCACATTATGTCAGCCTCGTTGAATTGTGGTTCTTTTGATAGGCATGTTGGGACAGATTATTATTCTAGGGCACCAAAAACAGTTTTGAAAGGTTTTCGAAATGTAAAGTTTCTAAAGGGCTGTCACTGTAACTTCACTTTCCTTAGTATATGCATTTAATAGGCGGGAATTGAACAAACAGGAAGTGTTTTTTGTCTATTTTCTTGCTGGTATTAGCTAAGGAAATACCCGGACCCCGGCTGTTAGTAACAGTGCTGCTTTCATAGTCTGAAGATGAATATAATATTTCTTTTGTAGCTAAAATTTTTAAAGGAATTAGTAGCAGCTTTAATGTATATTTGACTATTATAGAAGAAAAAGGTTGTGTTTGCACCCACACCCACAGGTAAGAAGGCATTTAGGCAGGCAGGAAATCTGAAAGTACATGAAAGAATACACGCTGGTGAGAAGCCATTTAAGTGCAAGCATTGTGTCAAGGCGTTTAGCCAAGCAGGAGATCTGAAAAGACATGAAAGAACACACAGTGGTGAGAAGTCTTTTAAGTGCAAGCAATGTAACAAGGCCTTTAGCCTGGCAGGAAATCTAAAAGTACATGAAAGAACACACAGTGGTAAGAAACCGTTTAATTGCAATCATTGTGTCAAGGCGTTTAGCCAAGCAGGACATCTGAAAAGTCATGAAAGAACACACAGTGGTGAGAAGCCTTTTAAGTGCAAGAAATGTAACAAGGCCTTTAGCCAGTCAGGAAATCTGAAAGAACATGAAAGAAAACACACTGGTGAGAAGCATTTTAAGTGCAAACATTGTGTCAAGGCGTTTAGCCAAGCAGGAGGTCTGAAAAGACATGAAAGAACACACAGTGGTGAGAAGCCTTTTAAGTGCAAGAAATGTAACAAGGCCTTTAGCCAGGCAGGAAATCTGAAAGAACATGAAAGAAAACACACTGGTGAGAAGCCATTTAAGTGCAACCATTGTGTCAAGGCGTTTAGCCAAGCAGGAGGTCTGAAAAGACATGAAAGAACACACAGTGGTGAGAAGCCTTTTAAGTGCAAGCAATGTAACAAGGCCTTTAGCCAGGCAGGACATCTGAAAGCACATGAAAGAATACACACTGGTGAGAAGCCATTTCAGTGCAAGCACTGTAACAAGGCCTTTAGCGAGGCAGGAAACCTGAAAAAACATGAAAGAATACACACTGGTGAAAAACCTTTCAGGTGCAAGCAGTGTAACAAGGCCTGTCGTTGGAGGACATCTCTTAAAGTACACGAAGAAAGACACCGTTGTTGGATTTGTCTTAGGATGATTAAGACCAAGCCGCTGCTTCGTCAACATTATGATGACCATATGAGGTTACTAGACCTAACGTCGTAATTTAATTAACGTATTCAAAATTGTGTGATTTATTAATATTTCCTTGTAAATGTAAGCTATTTAACTAAACGTTAAATTAATTTGGATCTGGGTGATTTGTTTGTTTAAAAGAATTTTCCTAATTGTTTAAAGTGTTAATGTTCTTCCCAGTTGATAGCATGTTAGAACCGACTCTCAACACTAACCAGAGGGTATCAAAAACGTAGTTGCTTTGTTTCAATTAACGCGAAAATTTAAGGAAAATGTTATTACAAGGCTACTTTTGATGGTTTGTAGAAAGTGGAGTGTGAAAAAAGGTTCAACACAAAACACTATTTGAGTTTTGTTAGAAGTGGGAAGTTTTTTCAAGCAAGAAACGAACCAGGATTGCTTTTAAGAAAAGTTCAAAGGTTATGCTTTTTATAGCGAATCATTTGCACCGTTTACCCTCATTACAAGTTCATTTCTGGTAAGCGCGAGTAGCCTGAATTTCATCCGATTACTTCGAGTCGTTATTACTCCCTCAGAAACGTCTGAATCGACCAGCCGTTAATGCCGTCCAGTGACGTCACTCACTACCCGAAAACCGGGTAGTGGTTTTAATTGGTTGATTGTCTAAACATTCTCATAATTATGTATAATTATGAAAAATTTTAGCTGGATTGTCGCTTGATATTCAGCGGATCGCATCCCTTGCATTCTTTCCTGTAGTTCAAACATTTCGATAAGCCTAATCTTTATCTTAAACAGCAAAATTGCCCTTGTCTTCGAAACTGAAATGCTAAATTGAACTGCCAAGGAAGAATCATTGCGGAGAGTCGGTAGGTTTTTCATTTAGAGCGCCGCTTTGTGGTTTCGGCGGCCGGCGATTTTTCTTATGCCAAGTTTTCTAAGATCAATGTTATAATTCGACCTTCTTGCTATTTTCACCGTCAGGTGTAATGATTCTGTTAGCTTTTCTTTCTTGTTTCCTTGTTTTTTTTCTTCGTTAAGGACGAAATAGCTGCTTTTCAATTACAGCAAATTATTGTGTTTTTGTATTAAGGGTCCCGTGTGTGTGTTTATTTTATTGCGTGATTGAGACCGAGTTTGATTACAGAACTACAACCTGTTCAGAGTTGTACTGCAAGCAGTTGATAGTTTTAACGTTAAACATGAATTACGATCGAAAAAAATAAAGCAATTCTGTGTCATGCAGTCATTTTCAAACGATATTTCTCGGTTTGCCACTTGAAAATCGTGTTTTACGTCTTGCATGAATTAAAACAAAGGTCAAGGTGTAGTGACGTCACTGGACGGCATTAACGGCTGGTCGATTCAGACGTTACTGAGGGAGTAATAACGACTCGAAGTAATCGGATGAAATTCAGGCGAAAGCGCGCACCCTTGTATGGTCGTAGTTTCAGTTTTAGTTTCTGGTTTGATTGGTGCATTTAGTGGTGGCAGACTCCTTGGACACTTAAACTGTTTTCTGCAAATAGACGAGGAAAGAGTTTCTTAACATTTACAGTCTAGCTTCAATTTTTTTGGTTTCGATCATTTGCAAAAAAGTTCAGTTTCAGTTTCTTGTTCGACTGATGCTTTTAGGGATTGAAGACCCTTAGGAACCTCCTGTTTTGAAAAAGGTAACAAGGCAGTTCTTATGGTGTCAATCATTTGCAAAACGTTTACATTGGAACCGTTATGTTTTCGGCTCATATAGTTTGTCGCCGAAGCACAGCGAAACAAAGCAAACATAAATTGCGGATCTGTTGTACGGGAGACTAATGGTTTGAAGATACACTGCGTTGTGTGTAAGAACGATCCCTGTAGACGAGTGGCCTTGAAAGGAAATTTAAAAGTGAAACAAAACGATTTTAGCAAGGAGGCCTCATGAAAGTGAGAGTTATTCGTTACTCGCAAAGCAGCTGTTTGTGTGGCCTTATCCTTATAATAAGGTGTTTTTTGGCATTCCTTATTAACTGTGATAGTGTTGAGGCAGTTCTTTTTATCGGTCATTTTCCCAGTAATCACATCATTATGATTCTGATCACTGGTGTCATTACATCAGTGGTTAATATTTGAGGCAGCATTGTCGTTAATATTTTTTCTATAGTTAGGAGCGGTGTAAGGTTTGGAACTTTGACGCTTGAAATTTTTATTTGTACCCTTATCTTGTAGACGTGTCGCTTTCGTGACAAAGAAAAATATTTTTAGTGGTTCTGTTTATAAGTCTCTTTTAGCTTATGTTTTTAGTTATGTTCATTTTGTTCAAAAATGGAAAATACAGTGTTTGGTTTGAATTAAACTGCTCTCTAGACTATTATGTTTTACATATTAAACAGCCTAGAAACTGTTGACATTTGCGCCACGAGTGTGTATCGGAAATGCGTTTGAGTTGTGTTTTTTTATCGTCAAAGCGTTGCTCATTTTCCTGCCTTCGGTTGTCCAAACGTTGGATAGGGCTTTCTACCAGACGAATCACTATGCAACCGATAAATATTCGGGGAAACAATTACGCTATACACTAGGGCTTAAAGTGATCATTGAAATCATTAAATTATTCCCACAACCTTGGCCGTTTTTTTTTTACAGTGCTAGGAGTCTTTAGGATGTATTCTCGGTTAAAAACCCATGCAGTTCCTGACCCCACCCAAAAAGGGTTACTTAACTTTAGTGGCATACGAGACACGCGAGGTTTTTCGAGATACAAACCTAGAGTATTAGGCTCGATTTCCGCCGCTGTCTCGGTCCTCCCCGAGAAGAGACGGCTGGACACGTGAGTGGCCTATCGCGTGTGTGACGTAAGTTCAAGATTTTAATTTATGCGTCGCTACCCAACATCGGAAATGCGGAATGTAATTAAATACCGAAGAAATGTTGTACTTTGCCTCGTCGTCGCATTGGTATTTACAAAAAAAACAGCAGAAACAAGTACGGATTGCATTACCGATGGACTTCACAGTCGTCTCTTTCACGTTAGCTGTCAACAACCATGGTTGCGGTTGGTTGAACTTGAAAATCATACCCACCATTTGCCAGTTTCTCTAGGCTAATACTTTTCTTTGTAAATCATTTAAGTTTCAAAAGTAGGTTGAGTTTGATCGTCCGGGTAAACTTAGTCCTGAATAGGATTGTTGTTGTTGTTGTTGTAGTCTTTGACTCTGAAGATGACTACCGCACAGGTTGTCGAAACGTCAGTCACTGTCAACAACAACAGTCCTATTCAGGACTACGTTCACCCGGACGATCAAACTCAACCTACTTTTGAAATGACTCCTGGGTTCAAACCTTTGACAGTTTTCATTTAAGTTTTTAAGCTTTAAACGCCCTAACACACGATCGCACGCGACATCAAACAACAACCTTGCATCCGCCGTTTTAAATCTGCTCCAGGAAAACAAACTTATGCTGCCTGCTCGATTTGAGCTGGTAACGATCTGATTGATGGAAATTGACAATAGCAAACTCGTGCGTCCGGCTGCTGGTCGGGAAGGAGCATGGCTTTATTTCACGAAGAGCGGCTGGTAATCGAGCCTACTCCAGTATACGACTTGCAGAAACTCCATACTGATGACGTCACGCCACCAACATACGACTGGTCATGAAGCGTGGGAAATTTGCCTTAACCATGCAAAGAGATGCACTACTTAGGTCTGGGTACTGATGCGTCGTCTGCGGTCGCTCCTTAAAAGTCTTTTCGCGGAAAAACCAGTGGTGGGGTCGCGAAAGTCAGCTGTTTCTCAGTCTAGCATCAGTCTGTCTACTATGCTGGAGAGCAAGGGACGTACTGGGACAACACGAACAAAGAGCTGATATCATTTAGAATCAAAATTTCCTTCTTTTGTCTTGTCCCAGGCATCTCTTGCTTTCCAGTATAGCGATTTTGTACCACGCGAACCACTAGCTGTAAATAGCCCTTTCATGAGGCTTTTTTCGAGTCACACGTGGCCAACCCCTCCCCTCACCCCACAAGCGACGTTGAACGCGTATCTCCAGAATTATTCGGGGTGTTAACAATGTATGGGATATTTTCTAAAAGGTAGCACTTTTTTATTACGACAACAAAAAATGACAGGAATCTCGAATATTGCATCACTTTCCCAAGGCCTTTTGTCCAGGATTGTAGCTTCTCAACACCCTGCCAGCAGAGCCTCATTGGGTGAAGAGGAGAAAAAGAGGCTCTGCCTGAATCACGTCAAACCTTTCAGGTCGCCGCAGCCCGAACTTCTGGACTAAACAATCTCTCGTCAAACTGGTCATTACCGACCCCGCTGAAGCAAACGCACGGTGCGCTTAAGGCCTGAGTTCAGAGTCGCCTGAGTTCGAAACTATATCTTTTAACAACGTGCCGCGCATGTTCAACAGGGATGTTATTCGATTCATGCAGAGTCTTTTTCGGTTACGCCAAAATCGAACAAGCGAAAGAAAGGCCTTGTTGACAGGGTGATTGTTAGCAAGGAAAGGTGAATTCAATGAAGATTCGACATTAATAGTAATTGTTATTTATGGGTCAAATCGCGATAATCTATGAGTAGATCTTCAAGGACCAGTAGAGAACAAAGCGGGCGAAAATTGCTCCTGCCGTATAATATTCGCACCGCACACGGGAGCTAAATTATAGGAGGAAACCGCGACTGCCAGGACAATAGGCATATCGAATACTAGGGGTATGCGAGATCAACCGCCACCAGGGGAGGTGGGAGGGGCGAAACTTGAAGTCACTTCCACTGAACTCCGTGGAACTGGCCAAAAGGCGGGCAAAAACCGAGCAATTCTAACCATGGGTAGCAATTCTTTATCCTACCAGGGCGCAGGCCCAACACGACGGAAATTAAAGAAGTTCCTCATTTCCCACGTCACGGGCCAATTGTGTATGGTGTGAGAATTTACTATATTGAGTTGCACTAGGTGTAACAATGAACCATCAGCGACTCATATTAACTATATGTGATGGTATATGTGATCTATTTCAAATTCACACATTATTCCTTATACCTTAAACAGCTTGAGGAAAACTGACTTATCAATGAGGATTTTAA